GCGATGCGGCGATGCCGTGGCTGCGGCTGGAACGGCTGAAGCTGAGGGGACCTGCATGGCTGAATTGCGCGTGGATGATCGAGGGTGTTAAGGCTAGGCCACACTCGGATTCAAGGAAATTAAAAGAATATGGAAAGAAGAAAAAAAGGAAGGAAATTATTAATTGGAATAGCTCCGGGTTATTTTAGGAAGCTGGCATGGGGTTTCTGTGACAAAACGCGAAGGCTTGGACGAGATTCCAACCCTGACTGCGGGGTTCTTTATTGGTCGGGTGTGCGGCTAAAGCCCATGTATATCCGTCGCATGGTCAATATACGGCTACAGAAAAACAAGGCTCGTATTTTGGAATTTCAGGCCCAAATTATTGAAGCTGATGGGAAACGTTGCATACCGTCGGGAGCAAAGCAAAGGGGCCGATCAAGGCCTGCAAAGTATGGCCCCCCTACGGGCCAACGATTACGTTGACGAGCACCCCAGACTGCTACAATGGAGGTGCGACTAGCCAGCCGATCCGATAGACGAACCGATCGTTGATCAACTTGACTACTCCCTTCTAGCCGAGTCTGCTACTCGACTAGGGGAGTGGGGGACTCGTGTTGGGATAATGGGCCAGGTCCAATACTATCGACCCAATATGCCTGGGCTCGGGCGCGAACCAGGCCCAGCACACGGTCCGACTAGATAATATGGTCCTTGGATTGATTAGTTTAACTCTGGGCCCGACCAGCCCATTGGCCTGGGATCAGGCTTCTTGTTTTAGTTGTTTAATTGGGCCAAGCCCATTAGTATTCAAGAAACCTCTTGTAAGCGCCTATAAATAGGCCGCCCCTCTTTTTGTATTGGATAAGTCACTTTTACTGTACTGAATTGCTGCCGAATTTTCTACTCAACACATTTTCTACCAACAACAACAATAATAATAATAATAATAATAATAATAATAATAATAATAATCACAACAATAGTAATACTAATGATAATAATACTAATACAAAGTAAGTAAAATAGCATGGTGGCTTGGTGGTTTAGTGGTAAACTTAGGGGTGGACTCGGGTCCGGGCCGGGTCCGGATCGGGCCTAGGCTCGGGCGGGCCAGCGGTTCACGAATGGTGGACCCGGGGCCGGCCCGGGTAGCCACCGGGTCCGGGCCGGGCCGGGCCTCCGGTTTGGGTTTTTTTTTTGCTTTCCTCACCCCCACCATCCCAAACCCCGCCAAACCCATCCTAATCATCAAGCCCAACTCGGGTGGAACCCCAAAAATGAAAAAAAAAATCAATTTGGCCCGGGCCCGACCCGGCTGAGCCGGTTCGCCAAATGTGAGACCCGATCCCGGACCCGCCCTACCCCCCGGGCCGGTCCACGGGCCGGGTGGCCCGACCCGAGTCCAACACTAGGTTTACTATCTAATGGGATGTGTCTAATAGGTCTATCTAATTCTTGTTTAATAACTCAACTATCTTGTAAAATTGATTATCAAAATCATATAGTAAAATGAATATGGAAAAGTTATAAAGTGATATTAGCTTAAACGCTTCAATCACAGTGTGAATGCTTTCTTCTTTTACTATTAGAGTGCATTAATTCTTTCCTTACAAATGCCATCTTTATGATTGTAGTTAGGACTATTAAAAATTTGGTGACCATAGATCATCCTAGATACTGTCAAATGATAATGGTTGATTGAATGCATGGTTTAAGAAAATATTATAGAGGTAATCAATGCTAATAAAGTGTTTGATAAAATGACTAAATCAAAACGCGTATAATGTGTTCTAAATTTGAAATGAGATACTTCGTATAAGATTACATTGACACTTAAAAACTAAAAGGTTTTTTGGCTACTATAAATGTTGTTTAATTTTTGAAAAAAGTTAAAACAGTGTTAATTTTTGACGAATATTTCCCCCGTTGGGTACCCATGGGTCTAGCGGGTCGGGGCGGGCGGGGGATGGGGCGGGGGTGGAGTCAGTGGCGTCTTTGAGGGCAGTTGGGCCAGGCAACTGCCTTGGGCCTCAACTACCAAGAGGGCCTCCAAAAAATTCTACTCTGGTATTAGTATTAGGTGTTATTTGTAGACCGCCAATACATCGAGCGATAACTGCAAGCAGAAATCGGCTTCATAGTTCACGTCTGACTATCCTTCCTTCATCAAAGTTGTAGCTAATGAAGTCTTCTATCCAACACAACTTGCAAAACTGGATTTGAATCATCCAATCAAAATATATGAATAAAATGGTGGAAGGTCGCATTCTGAAATCTCAACAGAGATTATATGACTTCATCATCTGTTTTCACCTTGCTTCTCTCATATTCTCGCAATGGTGTTTTCATATGATTTGTAGCCCTTGAAGTTGGCTTTAATATGAAACTTGAATGGTGTTCTTTGGATGTTCCTAAGAAAATATATGCTTGAACGATTGATAGAACGTCATCCTGACCGCTCTTTTCAAGCCCTATTCGTCTTCTTTTTATCTCGTACATAATTTTAGAGCTCTTTTGTCTTCAAAACTTTGTCTTTAACACCTCACTGACCTCCAATGCTCCTAATCAACTCTCAAATGCTTCTCAACTCGTCCCTATTGCTTCTCAAACGCCGGTGTCGGACTCCAATTCCCTGATTTTGACTCCAAAAATACCAAAACTCGAACCAACGCCCGGTAAATATGACTTGAGCTTAAAATTGATACTTATGACATCTTAAAGTTAGGAAAACCTATCAAAAGCCGATCCCAACGCCCGGAAAACTTAATAAAATTTTCACATTTAGTCCCCGAGTATTATCACTTTAACACTTTTAGTCCTTCCACAATGATTTTGAGATAATAAGTGTAGGACTAAAAATGTCACTTCTATAATAGTTGAAGGATCAAAAGTGTCACTTTTATGAAAGTCGAAGACCTAAATGTGGAAATTTTCAAAGACGGGTACCAAAAGTGTCTTTCGCACGATAGTCGAAGGACTTAAAGTGGAAAAACTCAAAGTCGAGTACCAAAAGTGTCAGTGACATAATAGTCGGAGGACTAAAAGTGGAAAAAACTCAAGAAAAAATAAGTTTAGAAGAGATTTGATTATATGATCAACCATTTCGGTAGATATATTAAAGTTTTAGCTAGTCCTGATTACAATGAAGTTATTACTGATTTTGCACTTCAAAAGGTATGAATAATAGGCCAATAGGGTGTTACAAGTATAAGTTTGCCTTGTGTTTTGCATATGTTTGCATTTAAAAATTTATCCTTTTGAATATTACAAACATTATATCATGAACTTTGAGTATGCTTTTTTTCATAAGGTGATTTTTATTCAATTTATCTGATTTTAAAAGAGATTTGTACATAGTAAATATTTTTCGTCTCGGGCCTCCGAAATGCTCAAGCCGCCTCTGGGTGGAGTGGGTCGAATAGTAGTGGGGGATGGGGCGGGGGTGGGTGGGGGAGTTTTTTAGACATGGGGTGGGGATGTGGAAGTAAACCCCGCCCCAACCACGCCCTATTGCCATCCCTACTAGTAATATATGAAGTAGTATAACATTAGTACAAATAGGAATGATGTACTATATTATATATTAGTAACTATTAAAATACTTTGTACTCTACTTTTTTCCTCATTAGTTTAATTGTAGTATTTGATAAAAGCAACTTTAAACGCATAATACAATGTAAAGCAACAAGGACGTTTAGAAGAAATTTTGGGAAAGTTTTGAGAAAAAATGTAGGCACAAGTAGACTTGGACCCCGTTCATGGTGAACCGGAACCGGCTGGCCCGTGAGACTTGACCAAAACTATTTGTAGTGGTTCAGGCTTGGGATCGGCAGTAGACCAGTGTCTGTCTGTGGACAGGTGTCATGTTCTAATTTCGCAATAAATGATTTCGAAAACATCCTGAATTATCAATAAAGAGTCTCCAACGTCGGTGTCAAGTTCTACTTTCTAATTTAAAAGCTAAAAATACCTAATAATCATATTTGAGCTAAATTAGCACTTCGTGACTCATTTTAGCCAAGTATTATATAAAACCGATTCCAACACGCATTAAATGCTTATTGGAACATGAAATTATCAGTGAGTTTATGTACTCCCTCCGTTCCTAAATAAACTTCCAACTTTCCTTTTTCATCCGTTCCAATTAAAACTTCCACTTTCCCTCTTTAGTAAAAAATTTGTGGTTCACAACATTTCTTATACATTTCTCTCTCCTCTGCACAACTCTCCACCACACAATACCCACTATCTTAAACTCTGTGCCAAACCTATTTGGAAGTTTTAATAGGAACGGAGGTAGTATATATTAAATATAATAATAGTAGCAATCGTATAAAATAATAGGTAGTGTACTTGTCAAAAAAATAAAAAATTTCTTGTCTTTCATAGCCATTTTACAGCTTAACAATTACTCCCTCCGTCCTATAAAATAATTCTCGCATTGACTTGGATCGCAGATTAAGAAAGTGGGAAAAAAGTGGAAATGTATGGTTATAGTTGAATAACAAAAAGGTAAATGAATGTGAGTCGGAGAGAGTAATTGTGAACAACTAATTGGTGTGTAGGGAACTGATCAGAGCTTTAATAAGTTATTAAAGCATTTTACTTCATTCCACTAATGATAGCAACTGATCAAAACAGTAACAAAATCCACCGAATAGAATCAAGTAATCAAGCATCAATTAACTAGCACTGATTAGCAAATACTCCCATAAAGAAATGGGCCTAAAGCTTTACCGCCCGTTGAAGTTTAATCCCGTAGATCCGAAAGCCCAACACAGACTTTGGATATCTCAGGAAATGGACGGTAATTCGGTATATAAAAGAAATATAAAAGATCGATAATTGAATGCTCAAAAGCTCACTTATACTTCCTCCATTTTTAAATAAGTGCAACAGTCAACATTTCACACTTGCCGAGACACAACTTTGACCATTAATATATATAATTCTCTATTAGTAAAAAAATTTAAAAAATTAGTTTTTAAAAATTATCAATGAGACAAATTTAATAATATATTTTTCAAAAAAATATATTAATACATCAATAAATAAAATGTAGTCAAAGTAGAACATGTGAATAGTGTAAAATTTCACATGTTGCACTTATTTAAGAATGGAGGTAGTATTAATTGACTTGTTTGATTACACGGAAATTACTCAAACGGTACGTCGGATTGATGCTTAATACAAGAGTAATAAGGCTATTCTAGGGCTTAAGTCTTAAAAAGCTAACCCTTACAATGATATTAAACCTTCTATTTATACAAATGGAGAGTATGGGACACTTTAGGGATGTTCCACCGACTTGATCACTCATGCCTAGGGATGGATTCGGGCCGGGTCGGGCTCGGGCCGGTCCTAGGCCCGGTCGGGCCGCCGGTTCTAGAATAGTGGGCCCGGGACTGGCCCGAGGGTTGGACGGGTCCGGTTCGGGCCGGGCCACCCGCCCGGGTCATGCCCCCACTTGATGAAGTCACAATCTGGCATTAATTCTACCTGGCCACATGCTGGCTGTCTGTTGCCCGAACGGGATAATGACCTCTGTAAAACATTGTTGATTTGACCCAAGTATAATGTATGACCCGAACCCCGTTCGGTATGTCTGTCTTCTGGGCCAGCCTTTACTTGGCCCGAACCTCATTTGATATGAATATTTCACCAGGCCTACTTTTTATAGGGTAGTTGACTCGTTGTTTGGGCTGGATGTCCTGGGCATTTAATCCGGGTATTGGGCCTCCGGGTCAATATCCAAACACCGCCTTTACGGATGGTACTCGGGGAGTAATAATTAACTGAAAAGAAAATTCTGCCAATAACAAATTTAAGACCATATACAAAGATGAAAATTTTAATGAAATCCATGTGTGTGATCTCACTACCTGCGCCTCTTATATTCACAGAAAAATTAAGATCTTGGAAGCAACTTAATATAAATATAAATACATCAATAATGAAGATAGATACAAGGGCCTCAACATGAAGGAAATCGTTTGTTGATCCCTATGCCATGTTTGGAAAGACACCAGAGAAATTTGGGATTTTATCAACATGCCTTAATGCCCGTTCCGCAATTTGTTTTGTCGGATAATCTGCATTCTGGAATGCATCCACTAGTGCTGTGCTCAAATTTGGATCCCCAGAAACTTCATAAGCTATGTCATCAGTGCGCAGAAGTCTCTCAACTGCCCAAACTGCCCTTCTCCTCAGATTTTCCGTACGTTTCTCAAGCAACACGTCAAGTATGGGTCTGATTCCTTCTGCATCACATAACACCTGAACTCCTTGTTCAATATCAACCCCATCATCCAACAAAGTGGACAAAGCTGCAAGGGATGCCTCAACCACCTTCTCATTGGTATGGTCAAGGAGAGCCACCAGCTTTTCTACACCCTGACCTTCCAAAAGACAAAACGTCTCTTTTAACGAACAAGTCCCGCGATGGACTTTACATAATCCAGTTATAACGTGTGGGGAACCCAAACAAGGGAGGATTGATATACAGAAACCAGGCTTAGGCAGTTCGGGCAATTTCGTCAAGTTCTTTGACTCTTGAGATAGGTTCTCCAAGGCCATAGCAGATACCATTTGTACATTGTCAAGCCCGTTTGTTTTCAAAAGTTCAATGAGAAGTGAAGCAACATTGTAATCACGGCAAACTGCAAGAGCATCTGGTTCATTGGACAAAACAAAAGTGATGCGGGAAAGAACTTTCACTAACCCTTCAAGAAATGGAGTCACAAAGCGCCCCCCACTTCTTTCTCCATGCCGTATGCCATCTACCCTTGAGATGACAAGCTGGAAGAACTTTTCATCAAGCATCTGCCTTGTAAGGCCTATATCACGCTCAGGTAGGTCCGCTAAAAGGCAAACAGCTGCTGCTTGTTCCTCAGTTATACCAAATGTATTCTCTGATATGACTTTGATTAGGCTGCCAAGTTGACCACTAGTACCACTCAAGCAACCTGCTAATTCCTCACCCATATGCGGGGAGAGGTTCTGGAGAAGTTTTATGGAAGCCACTCTAAGATCCTTCTGTGGGGCCTCAATGAACTGAACCAAGCTGATTGCAGCACCTGAACTTCTAATAGCAGAAACAACCCTGGTTACTGTGGTGGAGGAACTAGTTAGTCCAACAAGAACCTGAAGAAGCTTACTTTCTATGGCGGGTCCTGTGTTGCTGATAAGTTGGAGAAAGTTATGGATTATGCCTTCTGAAACTAAACTCTGGTGATGCTGTTGTTTAGAATCAAAATCATAACCAGAGTTCACAATGTTTGCTAATATTGTAGCGGAGACTTGCTTTAGTCGCATGGGAAGTGCATTGGCACCAATGGCAAAGAGATCCCTCACAAGGGGTGAAAGTATACCAGCTGATATCAAGAGCTTGGAACTCACTTCGTATGAAGATATTTGGTTTAAAGCTTTTAAAGCAACTTCTCTAGCTTCCATGCTACCATGTTCCCTCATCATATTAATGAGTGATGGACCGACACTCTTGGCTACTAAGACTTTCACATCATTGTTAAGGACCAAATCACCAAGAAAAGCAGCCATTGAAAGCTTGGTCTCATTTGATCCTGAAAGGTTATTGGAGCATAAGGTTCAATAGAAAGCTTTCACACTAGAATAGATAAAAACAAGAGGTGTTGAAGGGTTTGTTTCACATCAGCCAAATATTAAATATGGAGTATCAAATTAACATGATCTTGATTCACTCTTGCAAGTAGATTGACTTTTCATGATGGAACTTCAAACCTTAGAAAAAGCCATGCTCCAAAGAGCCGTCTGACACTCTGACCATGACATTGTGTGTCATGGAATAACAATGTATCGCTAATACTGTTTAAAGCCAACATAAGAGTTTAAAGGTAGGAGTTTACCGGCTAAATATAAACCAATATATAAGATATTGAGCTACTTCTAAAAACCAACACAGCAGTTGACAATTATGCTTGTTACAAGAATAAATATTTAACATGTAGCATTAGTAAGTAGTATGGGGGGTTACATGAAGCACCTTCAAGTAGCAGAGTCAAAAGAGGCCATAATCTCCCATTTTCTGCCAGTTGACGTACATTGCTTTCACACTTTTCAAGATTTACTAGTGTCTTTTCAGCTCTCTCAACAGTAACAACATTTTCTGAACTGCTGCTTGCCATTCCAACTAGGATAAGAATGGCTCCATTGATTGATCCAATCTTTTCACTCAAAGACTGGGATTTTGATAGCTCAAATAACAAAGAAACGGCTTCTTCTCTCTCCTTGGATTTCTTATGGTGCAAGAATTTCACTACTGTCCGCACAGTATCACCTTCAGCCAATATATCCTGAAAGCTTTAACAGGGAACTGTGAGTTATAGCATACAAGCTTACCTCAAAACAACCTTTACTGAAAAACATTTTTTAATAGTTACTAGCAAAAACTATAGGGGTTTAATCAATAATGTTACTAAAACAAAACTCATTGACAAAAATATGACTACTTAGCCTCTACCACCACTGCAAAAATATAATCATTGTCACTCCATAGTAAAATAGGATCACTGCATAAGTAGTCTCATGATCAATATATCAACACTCAATTTTTATCCATTATGCATATAATTATAAGAACTATTTCCACAATTGGTCCTATGACTATTAGATCTTTCCTACTCTTGGAACCTAACATTCATATTTTCACTTTTAGTCCCGCACTATAGATTTGATGATACTTATGGTCCTTCAGACCACTTATCTAGTCAAGTTTGCTATAATTTTCGGATGATGTCCGCCAGAAAAATGGCCAGAGGGACTTAAGTGATAAAATCCTAATCATGGAAGTATAGAACCAAACGGAGAAAATGAAAGTTAAGGAATAAAGTAGCAATGTCCGAATAGTGATAGGACCAAAAGTGAAATTACTTCTTTAGATAATATTATTTGTCATTACTTCAAAGTTATACAACCTTATTAGCATCATCATGCTCTACAGTAGCTCGAAGAGTTTCAAGAGCTTTGAGCGGAACTCCCCTATTACTGCTCCTAAGCATCTCAATAATCATTGGTATCAGATCTGCATTACGGATTGCTTGAGTATTGGACCTACTTTTCTGGCAGAGGTTCACAAGATCTTGCAACACACGCAGGATATCAGTCTCTGAAGCATTTCCCATAGACAGTGTTCTTCGAGCCCTATCAAGCTGAGCAGCTTCATTTCGTGCATTCCATTCTTTAATAGTTTTCGACAAAGCTATACTCGGATTAAGCTCTGTGCTTTTTAACTCTCTATGTGTTATGGGACAAACAGGATTTCTTCCGCTTGCCTTACATTCCTTAAACCATTTCTCAATTGCTTCCCTTTCAAAAGTTTGGCCATTTTCAGTAGTTACAGGTTCACGCATCACTTGCTTCGTTAGAGGGCATAAGAATGAATCGTATATAGATTCTAAATATGGTCTCTCATAACGGTAGCTCTCATCTGGCAGGCTACTAATTTCATGATTTCCTTCAGAGCTTTCAGCCATCTGCAATATAAGAGTGCCCCTTAAAATGAACTGATGAAGAAATTCCTTGCCTTCTGCCACATACAAAGGCAGCAAAACTGACAAAAATATTAAAACTTTCATAATTAAAAAAGAAACCTCAAATATTGTCTTGTAGAGAACTTCTGATAATACAACACCTAGGCCTTCTAAATATGAAAACAATTGTGTTAAATTTATATTCAGGGTGAAGGGTGAACCAATTATTTTATATTTTAATATTGAAAAATCCACCTCGTAGGATCACCCCCAAATATGAAAAAGGGTTCCCAGGGTGAAGTGGTGAACCTAATTTTCAGTTTTTTTATTTTTTCAAATGAACACACGCCTTATTAATTTCTAGTATGCAAATGTGCTTAAACGAAACAAGGCTAGTTCACAACATGAAAGGCTTCACCAAATGTCAACAAGCATTGCTTCTCAACTTTAAAAGAGGCTTATGGCATATAGCTTAAGAGTGTTTGAGATAGCTTCTACTTTTGAGAAATTTATTTTAGCGGTTATACGAAAAGTGTTTAATAGTAAACATTGGTAGGATTTGAAAAGAAAAGCGGTTTTAGAAAAGTAAGAGTTAGTGTAAGATGATAAAGTACTCTTTTTGTTGTATTGTTAGGTAAAATCTAATAGAAAAAGCGCTCTCTTAAGCAATGGAAAGCACACTATTAGTATTGCTATGGTCTCTATCCACAACACTTTTCCCCCCAAAAGTTATTTTGGTAAAATAAAAGTGTTGTGGCATGAAAGCTGTAGATATAAAGCCACTTAAAAGCCACAATAGTAAAAAAATTGCTTTAAACAACATCTTCCAGCTTTTGACAAATAATTAGGGATTTGCTTATTTAGCTCAAACACAACTCTCGCAGGTCTCAACACCTTGGTACCAAACTATCTCTCATTATTACAACGCCCGTTAAAACAGTGATAAGTATTCTCTAGAAGTTCCTATTTTCTACATTCACTTCTAAGTAACATTCTGGTCCTTATATCCCAAAGCTACCCACGAAGCCCAAAATTGTTCATGACCCAACTTCTATTACAATGATTGATTATTTGACATACTTTTAATGTAAAGAGATAAATCTACAGGTAAAAGCCCTATGGTAAATGTGTTTCAATACTACCTATATAATTCAGCAGTGGGGCTCAAAATCCAAATGAACAAATAGAAAAGAAACAATTCAGTTCATGTAGAAGAAAGCCCCTTAGAAATAAAGCAAGATGGTTTAGAAGGTTTTTACCCTTGTAGGAAGTATAGCTTGGTAGAGAAATGGGAAAATTCTAAACTTCAACCTTGCACCAAGAGGAAGCAATAAAAAACGAAGCTGGTATAGAGCAAAAGCAGCTTGAATCTTCCCTGAAGTTGTTGATTTAGGATCTAAGTTGGACTATATGGGAAGGGAGGAAGGACGAGAAGCTGTGAGGAAACGAGCTGGCAACTCTCCTGATCAATCAATGAATAGTAAAAGAAAACAAATTTAAAACGAAAATCGCAAATGTTTACTTTGATATTGCTATTTTTAGATTTTAATTTGGAAAAAAATAACTTACTCCGTATGAACAAGTTGGTGGTTGCCAGGAACCATCAACCATTTATAGTCACCGTAGTGTACTATACAGACACGGGGTTGAGGCTCTGCCATTCATTGGCTGAACTCAGCTGAAGTTTTTGTTGCAATGCACAATTAATATGCTCCATTCCGCAATTTTAATAAGTAATAAGGAGGCTGGAGTATATTTATTACTACCCGTTCCGCTATGATTGTCCCATTTTACCTTATCGGTCCGTTCCACTAAGATTGTCTCATACCAGATTTGGTAAAGTTTGTGTGGCTCTAAATTATTCTTAATTTATTCTTACTTTATCAATTCAATATCAACTACATAAACAACTTTTTATTAATTTGGGTGTCATTCCCTCTTGTCCCATTGATGGAGTATATGGTTCAGGGACCCCCGACCCACATACTTCTACTAATACAATCAGGCCCAATAAGCCCAGGAGGCACAGCAGGCCCAAATCACAGCACCTCCAAGTGCCAAGCAGCCCACGACGCACACTGGGGTGCCTTCGGCCCCATGGCCGAAGGCTCGTGAGCTTACAATACAACTGTTTTTGAGCACCCGAAATTACTGGGAGAAAACGGTGAAAACAGTAGCCCTCGTCATCTAGAGCCCTCGACACCTAGAAGCCCCCGGGAGGAAGAACCTTCGGCCTGTCACCTACAGCCGAAGGCAACTTCCTCGATAGGATCTGCGCTCCACACGCGCTGGATCAACGTACCAAGTACAAACATCGCATCCAACCACCGCATTTAGTGCGGCCACATGCGAGTGCCAGTGCCACCCGGTTGAGGTGACCCCTCGACCGCCAGAATGATGACATGTGTTCTTATCTAGCATTTATTACTACTATAAATAGCACTACTTTCCCCATTTGTAATTCAGGCTGAATACACTCAACGCATTCTTAGCAATATCTACTCTCTCTTACTCTTACTCTGACCTCTCTCTAGTTACTCCCCGCAGTAACCCCTCGGATAGATACCCCCGGGTACACTTATCCATCATTTGGTGCTTTCATTGAGAGCTCGAACAATCAAGTGAGAAACCCTCCCCCTCGTAAAAACACAAAACACCTATCAAAAATGGTGAGAACAACTCGTGCCAACTCCAAGAACGTTGAGGACAGGAACCTGGCCCTCAGCAAAGTTGACGTCCCCGAAGCCTCTAACAGGGCTCCCGAGGGCGGCGTCATCGCCGGGTTGGATCAGACGGCTGTCGACCTACGCCTTCAACTCCAACAAAATGCCCCCAATGCCCGTCTTGGCATCGAGGCCAGGAAAAAGAACCGGAGCGAAAACCAAGTGAGCCCTCCGGTCCTTACCATTGACGTGCAATCGGCGTTCTCCGCCTTCATCCACACACTTACTCAGAACCCGGGTGCCTTCGGCACTCTGGTGCCCCTTCAACCCCAGGTCGGGGAGAACGCCATACCGCTCCCACCACCACAACCCTCGCGAAACCTATCCTTCGGGAGGGGAACGATGAGGACGTCGTGGCTCAGGACACCGCCTCTCAGGAGGTCCAATCCCGGGACCGCCATGGCGCAAACAAAGAAAGGCCCCGTGTCACGCCCCGGACCTAGCCGGACACGTCAACAACCCGCCGTACAGTACGAATAGTCAACCCCAGTCCAACTCATCCATACTATACAAAGCGTCATGAATATCATTCACACATAGTACATTCATAAACAACCATAATGTAAAACATGCAATTAAAACAGCGGAAGCATTAATATAATTGTTCAAGCCACACTTGGCATAACTAGGCATACAAGCCCCCAAAGTAATTATTCAGAAAATAGTATCCATGAGCATTAACGTAATTGTTTTTAAAACAGAACGGAAGAAGCACGAACCACGTCTTCTTCCCTTGATCCTCCCGAAGCAACGGGCAATTGTACCAACCTTCAAGTTCTACCTGAAACTGTGAGGTGGCCTCCCCCGTGAAGGGGATGTCAGTACTTGGAAGCATTTGACAAGTACAATAGCAACTATACTAAGTATAATCAACGTTTTAATTTCCAAGACCCTCAAAATAGAGGATATCATAATATAAATAATAATTTATATTTCCCATTTATTATCTTTATAATAAGTAAATTCATTTATTTGTCGGCACACGGCCCTTCTTATATATTCCTTTTCATTTATCATTTGCACAACCCAACCCTTGGGTCTTATTATTTCTACGGGACTTGCTACCGCTGTCCGAGACCTCATGAGGCTCCCGGTTCGGACTCCAACATCCCGCCCCTGGACTCATACCCATCATCCCGTAGGAAGGTAAGGCCCTTCGGGCTCCTATCTTATGTGTTACCGCTACCGGAACCTAGTTAGGTCTCCGATTCGGATTCCACCCTAACCCGTGATCACGATGCAAGTCCATGCTATCCAACTCCGCTCTCTAGAGTCGGGAAGGGCCATGTTCCTTACTTATTTCCATAATTCAACCGGCTATCCACAAGGACTACCGAACACACCCGTAGGCCAATCCTATACCTAGGATCAATTTATTACTTACTTTATCTTGGGTATCCCTTAGGGTCTACCCCTAGTATGACTTAGAGCTCATACTTTCCTACCTTAAAGCATCTCTTAAGACTACTTAAGGCATAACATTTCACAATCCAACCTTAGGATAATCTTAACGACATTTCAACTTAATGTCCAACTAGTATCTTAATATTAGTCAAATTAATACCAACAAACCAAGTTCTCAACTCAAGGGGTGTTTGGATCTGATTCTCAAAACTGATTCTGCTCCTTCAGAGAGCAGAAGCAGAAGCTGGAGTGTTTGGGTGAAATTCCAGAAGCACTTCTGGTGCTCTAATTTACTCTCAGAATCAGTTTTTTTAGAAGCTGGGGGGTACCAGCTTCTGAAAACTGATTCTAATTCTGCTTCTGCTTTAAAAAAGAAGCAGAATTAGAATCAGTTCCAAACACCCCCTCATAGTCATATAGACAATTCCAACTGATTTTCCTTTGAGAATATCATTTTTCTCAATATTCAAAATATCACTTTTAATCACTCATATATTCTAATATGAAGAAAAAGTATATTTCAACATATGTTTCATAATTAATTCCACTCTCAAGTTAACATATTCATAACACATGATCATACACAATTTACTCTTAAATTTGTATATCATGCTCCTTTTTCTTTAGACATTAGTCTTCTCATTCTTAGGCATTATTAATCATTAATAATCCATAAAAAAAAACACATTTAATTACCTTCGGTAATCTCATGAAATTAACTCACTAATTATAAGCAATATAGTCAGTCATCCTCACCTCGTGATGTGCTACAATAGTTGCCTTTGTTAAGCCCCTCGATCAATCCCCGTTCTAGGCCGATTGAAAGTGAAAATCTGGACTGCTGGGCCAAAGCCGGGCGGCTTTCGTAGTTTGCAACTACGAACAGCTCCCTATATGTGGCGGTTTCCGGCGATTTCGACTCCTATCGATTCACCAACACTTCTAAGTTAAATACCACCGCTTTATGTCAATATTCTACACTTTTAAACGTGTAGAACATCATGTTTAATCCTCCATATGATTTCTTAAAATCATACATGATAAAACTAGTTAAAAGAAGATAGTTGAGTTCTTACCTTCTTCCTAGCTAGTTTTCTACTGGAATTTGCTTGCCCCTTACTTCCTCCAAGCTTGATCTTGATGGGGAGTTGCTGGAGCTTCTCCTTTCCTTTGGGTTGGCCGGATGATTGCAAGAGGATAAGGGGAAGGGGTTCCTCCTCAATCAAAGGGATTATATGTCCCAAAATAATGCAATGAGGGGTGTGGTTTTGTCTCCAGCCACCCTCTCATTAAAAGTCCGCCCCCAGCCTCACTTCCTTGTCCCTTGCAGTACATAAAAACGTGGGGTGACCCTCACTTATGTGGGAGGTCATCCCATTATGTCCCGGTGTGTACAATTGGCCCCGAAAGTTGTATTTTTCGGACTACTTTAGTCATATTTTATTTTATCGGGCCGGATAAAATATATCACGCGTTCCCAACAATTTTGGGCCTTTAGAAACGATGTACATTCCCCAACATTAATTTAGGAGCCTCCGAAACTCATTTCGGGTTGTTATCCGTTAAATTACCAATACCGGTACTTGGGCCCTGTTTGACCAACCGGTCAACTCCATGCCTTTCTTATGGCCCGAATAAAATATCCACCACCATATAGATGTCATCTAGACCAAGATGAATATAATGTGTGGTTCGGGAATTATCGGGCGGTCCCTGTTCCCGCTGTGGACCCCACATGCAATTTACTATTCACGTAAAAGAAATAATAAAATTTAACAACTACGTAAATTCATAAATCATCTTTCAAGGTTTATTACATATTTTACTAAAAGTAAATATGTTCGGGGTCGGTGTTAGAAGTTCACCCCCCCTTAACGGGAATTTCGTCCCCGAAATTCACAATGCTCATTCAAACAAAAACGTGTATTGCTCTTTCATCGAAGCTTCCGTCTCCCAAGTTTCCTCTTCAACTCGGTCACTTTTCCAAAGGATTTTAACCATTGGAACTTGCTTGCTTCTCAATTTCTTGACTTGCCTGTCAAGAATCTTCACCGGTTGCACGGCATAATTCAAGTCTTCCCGGATCTCCACGGGTGGTTTTTCTAATACATGAGATGGATCCGGCATATACTTCTTAAGCATGGACACGTGGAATACGTTATGTATCTTCTCCAATTCTGGAGTCAACTGTAATCAGTATGCCACGGCCCCAATCCTCTCAAGAACCACGAATGGCCCTATGTAGCGTGGGTTAAGTTTCCCTCAGCTCTGAAATCGGATGATTCCTTTCCAAGGTGAAACCTTCAGAAATACCTCATCTCCAACTTTAAACTCTAAGGCTCTTCGGCGCTTATCGGCATAGCTCTTCTGTCTATCATGTGCCGCCTTAAGTCTGTCACGAATCATCTTCACCTTTGACTTGGTGATTTCCACCAGTTCCATGCTCTCGAGTTTGGCCATGTCAACCTCATCCCAACACAAAGGTGTACGACATCTCCTCCCATACAATGCCTCGTATGGAGGCATGCCTATGCTCGCCTGATAACTGTTGTTATAGGCAAACTCCACAAGTGCCAAATGGTTGTCCCAACTCCCTTGGAACTCCAATGCACAAGCCCTCAACATATCCTCTAATATCTGTATAACCCGCTCGGATTTCCCATCCGTTTGTGGATGAAAAGCTGTACTGAATTTCAGTTTGGTCCCCATAGATTCTTGGAACTTCGGTCAAAATCTTGATTTGAATCGCGGATCTCTATCAGATACCATAGTTATAGGAACCCCATGTAGTCTCACGATCTCGTCCACATACAACTTGGCTAACCTCTCCAGTGCATAGGTAGTGTTGATAGGTAGAAAGTGTGCACTCTTCGTGAGCCTAACGACCACAACCCATACGGCATCATAGTTCTTAACCGTCCGTGGCAGCCCCACCACGAAATCCATAGTCACGTGCTCCCACTTCCATTCAGGAATGGAAAGTGGTTGTAGTAACCCAGCCGGATGCTGATGTTCTGCCTTAACTTGCTGACAAGTAAGACACCTACTGATGTGCTCGGCTATTTCCCTCTTCATACCCGACCACCAGTAACTTACTTTCAAATCACGGTACATTTTCGTGCCTCCCGGATGCATGGCATACGCCGATGAATGAGCCTCCTCTAAGATGGACTTTCGGAGCTCATCATCCAACGGTACACACACTCGGTCACGAAATAATAAGAGACCATCGTCTCTTTCCCTGAAATCCTCAACCGGTCCCGCTAGCATGCGTTCACGGATCTTCATAAGTTCTTCATCGGTTTCTTGACCCTTCTTGATTTCATCAAGTAATGTAGGTCTCACCTCAAATCTAGCTAATAAGGCACCATCGCTAGATACCTCCAATTGGGCTCTCAATGCCCTCAAGCTAGTCAATAATGCCCCAGATGAGTTCTTTCGGCTCAAGGCATCCGCTACCACGTTGGCTTTACCGGGGTGGTACTCGATAACTAGATGGTAGTCTTTTATCAACTCCATCCACCGTCTCTGTCTCATGTTTAACTCTTTCTGAGTAAACATGTACTTCATGCTTTTGTGGTCGGTGTATATATGACATGTTTCCCCGTAGAGATAATGTCTCCAAATCTTCAATGCGAACACCACCGCCCCAAGCTCTAAGTCATGAGTGGGATAATTTACCTCATGCTTCTTCAACTGTCGTGAAGCATAGACAATCACCCTCCCATTCTGCATCAAGACACATCCAATCCCTTGGATGTTTGCGTCGCTGTAGACATCATACCCCACACCCTGTTTGGGTAGTGCGAGTACCGGTGCCTCGGTCAATCTCTTCTTCAGCTCAAGGAATCCCTTCTCACATCGGTCATCCCATACAAACTTGGCCCCCTTTCTAGTGAGCATTGTCAATGGCGATGCCAAAACTGAGAACTTCTCCACAAATTTTCGGTAGTACCCTGCCAATCCAAGGAAGCTACGAATTTCCTTAACGTTCTTTGGCCTCTCCCATTCAGTAATGGCCTCAATCTTCTTGTTATCTACGGCAATCCTTGATCCTGAAACCACATGCTCGAGAAAGCCAATTTCCCTTAGCCAAAATTCACATTTGGAAAACTTGGCATAGAGTTGCTTCTCCCGTAGTGTCTCAAGAACAAGTATCAAGTGCTCCTCATGCTCTTCTTCACTCTTCGAGTAAATCAAGATATCATCTATGAACACAATCACAAACCGGTCCAAGTATTTATGAAATACCCGGTTCATCAAGTCCATAAATGCCGCCGGGGCGTTGGTTAGCCCGAACGACATAACTAGGAACTCAAAATTACCATACCTTGTGCGGAATGCACTCTTCGGTATGTCATCCTCCTTTATCTTCAGTTGGTGGTACCCCGACCTCAAGTCAATCTTCGAAAACACCGTCGCTCCTCGGAGCTGATCAAACAAGTCATCAATCCTAGGCAAGGGATACCTATTCTTGATTGTGACCTTGTTCAGTTGACGATAGTTGATGCACATTCGAAGCGTTCCATCTTTCTTTTTCACGAAAAGGACCGGTGCCCCCCACGGAGAGTGACTCGGCCTTATGAAACCGTTATCCAATAGCTCTTGCAATTGGGTTTTAAACTCGTTAAGTTCAGCGGGTGCCATTCTGTATGGCGGTATAGAGATTGGTTTGGTGTCGGGTTCAACCTCAATCACGAACTCAATCTCCCTATCGGGTGGAATCCCCGGCAAGTCTTTTGGGAAGACATCCGGATACTTGCACACTATTCTCACATCATTGATGTCTACCTCTTCCTTGGTTTTATCCACCACGTAAGCTAGATATGCGTGGCATCCCTTTCTCATCATATTCCTCGCTCTCACGGCGGATATGATACAACTGTTGAATTTACCTCTATCTCCCTCGAAACGTAAGGTCAAACCTTCACCGCTTTCGAGTTCAAGAACCTTCGTATAACAATCAACCCTAGCATGATGTTTCTCTAGCCAATCCATCCCAAGGATCGCGTCGAACTCGATCATGCTCAGCGGTACGAAATCACACGTCAAGTTCTGTCCCTCCACCTCCACCTCACACGATGGATAATGGCTCTCTGTTTCGATATCATCCCCTAGAGGCGTGGATACCAATAGGGTTTGAGCCATCGGTACAAGTGATCTGTTGAATCCGCTGGCGAACGCCTCACTCACAAATGATCGTTGCACCCCGGTATCAATAAGGATCATTGTGTCTCTCCCGTTTATCTTTAGTGTTCCTACATTCATAAGTAATGTAAGACACACTATCTAATTAATAGACTCGTTCTTAAGTCGTAGAGTATGTTGGTTGTGGTTCGGGTGGAGTCCGTTCGACACCCTTCCGAAATTTCCCGGTTTCTCACCTTTAGGACCGCTCTAGGACAAAACCAGGTGAAAGCCGGCCGCTTTTCGCGAAATCCGGCCGGGTTTCGTCTGCGAGAATAATTCCTTGTATATAATCACGAAAGCCGGGCGGCTTTCACGAAAGCCGGCCGATTTTTGTTGCCATAGTTTTATTCAAGGAATGGATTTCAAAGTCGGCCGGTTTCTACGAAACCCGGCCGGGTTTCAGCAGCGCAGGAATCCCCAAGCCTAACGAAAGCCGGGCGGCTTTCCCCAAAGCCGGGCGACTTTGAGCGCCGCAGATTATTCCGGATCAAATATTCCAAACGCCGACCGGTTTCTGTGAAAGCCGACCGGTTTTCGTTTGCGAGGAAAATTGTTGATTTACTATATACGAAAGCCGGGCGGTTTTCGGTGGAAGCCGGCCAGCATTCGTTGCCGTAGTATTTTCCCCAATAAATCAAGACGAAAGTCGGGCGACTTTCGTCAAAGCCGGGCGGTTTTCGCCCAAGGCGAGGATTCTCCTCCCCTTTTTCTCCCCAAACCCGACCAAACTCGTCGGGGTTATAAATTTACAAGTTCCACACTCCTATTGTTTATAATAGACTAATACGTGAGTTTAAGGAATTACCCGCAACGGAGTCCGGGTTGGCACGAGCATCCGCCTCCGTCATAGCGTAGCCCCGAGCTTGGGTCCTTCCTTGATTTACGGATGGCGCGTTGCTTGCACTCGCCCCACCGTGCCCACCGCTAGCATTTGGTGCTCCGGTTCGGTTTCTGCTCACCGTCGTTCCACTACTTGGTCCGGCCCCCATGGCTCGCCCAAGTTGTGGGCAACTCACCTTCAAATGCCCGACCTCCCTACATTGATAACACCTCGGGGGGTCGCGGCACTTGCCAAAGTGGTTCTTCTTGCAATTGCTGCACTTCTTCACGCCTGAGCCTTGTGACGAAGAGTTTTGCCCGTTCGGGCCTTGATTTCCCCTTACCGGTGGTGTAGGGGTTTTGAAAGATCCGCCTCCCCCATGGTTCCCCTTCTTGTTAGAACCTTGAGGGCCATGGTTCTCCCATTTTCTTTTCTTTGCCTCCTCGGCATTCCTTCGTTTTCTTTCCTCCCACTCTTTCTCCCCCTTCAAGCCTTGTTCAAACACTTGACTAAACGTCATATTAGGCAATTGTGTTGCCCTCTCACGTATGTCAAGGTCCAAGGCATCCCAGAAATGGTTCACCATCCGGTTTTCATCACAAATGTACTCCGGTGTGAACTCAGCAAGCTTTCTGAATTTGTGCTCAAGTTTCTTCACCGTACATTCACCTCCTTGGGTCAAATTAGTGTACTCACTCCTCTTCAAGTTCACCTCGAAGTCGGAGTAGTATTGGATAAAGAACTCCTGTCGGAAATTCTCCCAAGTGACGACCTCGCCGTACTTCCCTTTTGTTCCATCCCACCACGTGGACGCCATGCCTTCTAGTAGCCTCGTGGCTACTCTCAACTTCATGTGGGGTGGCAGTTGCATGTCGAGGGCCGCCTCGTTGAATCTTTTGATCCATTCCGCCGCCACGGAGATGTCCCCCGTTCCATCAAACGGTTTACATCCCAAGTCTCTTGCCTCTTTGAGGTACTTCGAGATCCTTATTATAGGGACCTCAGCACCTCCCCCTCCTCGGGATTCTATGATCTCCCTCGGAGTCACGCGGCTTCCTCTCCTTGAAGCCCCTTCCAAAGCACGCCTTGCCCGGCGCCTTTGGCGATCTTGGTGGTATTGCCGTAGCAATTCCTCAATCCGTTCGAGAGCTTCATTATCATCGCTCTCGTCACTTGCATCATCGTATTCCTCATCATATGGGGTCTCAACCGGCTCGGTTCCCGGTTGGTAAGTTGAATCCTCATCGGACTCATAGTGCTCGTCTATGGTTTCCACATGACCGTCACTCACGGTCAGCGAGTGGCCTGCACGGCCTTGTCTCTTAGACACCCTCGATCCTCCCCGACTGCCACGTTGGGATCCTCCCGGTGCTTGGCCAGTCGGGTTCCGTCGAGTAACTTTCCCGGTACGTTCCGTTTCTGAAAGAAATTTAGAATGAGTCATTAGACTCATATCAAATGTCAATTGACGGATAGACACTTAAAGACATCTTTTGGCTCAAATCACCGCCATACCAATTGCTAAGGATACCATCTTAACAATTAGAGACATTGCAATTCAAGTACCAAAAGTTCTATAAGTACAAAACTTTTTATGCTCATGGTTTTAAATTTCATTTTCAAAAAGAATTTCAAAGCTTCATTATGATGTTTACGGACTAAGGCTTTGATACCAATTAAATTGTCACGCCCCGGACCTAGCCGGACACGTCAACAACGCGCCGTACAGTACGAATAGTCAACCGCAGTCCAACTCATCCATACTATACAAAGCGTCATGAATATCATTCACACATAGTACATTCATAAACAACCATAATGTAAAACATGCAATTAAAACAGCGGAAGCATTAATACAATTGTTCAAGCCACACTTGGCATAACTAGGCATACAAGCCCCCAAAGTAATTATTCAGAAAATAGTATCCATGAGCATTAACATAATTGTTTTTAAAACAGAACGGAAGAAGCACGAACCACGTCTTCTTCCCTTGATCCTCCCGAAGCAACGGGCAATTGTAGCAACCTTCAAGTTCTACCTGAAACTGTGAGGTGGCCTCCCCCGTGAAGGGGGTGTCAGTACTTGGAAGCATTTGACAAGTACAATAGCAACTATACTAAGTATAATCAACGTTTTAATTTCCAAGACCCTCAAAATAGAGGATATCATAATATAAATAATAATTTATATTTCCCATTTATTATCTTTATAAAAAGTAAATTCATTTATTTGTCGGCACACGGCCCTTCTTATATATTCCTTTTCATTTATCATTTGCACAACCCAACCCTTGGGTCTTATTATTTCTACGGGACTTGCTACCGCTGTCCGAGACCTCATGAGGCTCTCGGTTCGGACTCCAACATCCCGCCCCTGGACTCATACCCATCATCCCGTAGGAAGGTAAGGCCCTTCGGGCTCCTATCTTATGTGTTACCGCTACCGGAACCTAGTTAGGTCTCTGATTCGGATTCCACCCTAACTCGTGATCACGATGCAAGTCCATGCTATCCACCCCGCTCTCTAGAGTCGGGAAGGGCCATGTTCCTTACTTATTTCCATAATTCAACCGGCTATCCACAAGGACTACCGAACACACCCGTAGGCCAATCCTATACCTAGGATCAATTTATTACTTACTTTATCTTGGGTATCCCTTAGGGCCTACCCCTAGTATGACTTAGAGCTCATACTTTCCTACCTTAAAGCATCTCTTAAGACTACTTAAGGCATAACATTTCACAATCCAACCTTAGGATAATCTTAACGACATTTCAACTTAATGTCCAACTAGTATCTTAATACTAGTCAAATTAATACCAACAAACCAAGTTCTCAACTCATAGTCATATAGACAATTCCAACTGATTTTCCTTTGAAAATATCATTTTTCTCAATATTCAAAATATCACTTTTAATCACTCATATATTCTAATATGAAGAAAAAGTATATTTCAATATATGTTTCATAATTAATTCCACTCTCAAGTTAACATATTCATAACACATGATCATACACAATTTACTCTTAAATTTGTATATCATGCTCCTTTTTCTTTAGACATTAGTCTTCTCATTCTTAGGCATTATTAATCATTAATAATCCATAAAAAAACACATTTAATTACCTTCGGTAATCTCATGAAATTAACTCACTAATTATAAGCAATATAGTCAGCCATCCTCACCTCGTGATGTGCTACAATAGTTGCCTTTGTTAAGCCCTCGATCAATCCCCGTTCTAGGCCGATTGAAAGTGAAAATCTGGACTGCTGGGCCAAAGCCGGGCGGCTTTCGTAGTCTGCAACTACGAACAGCTCCCTATATGTGGCGGTTTCCGACGATTTCGATTCCTATCGATTCACCAACACTTCTAAGTTAAATACCACCGCTTTATATCAATATTCTACACTTTTAAACGTGTAGAACATCATGTTTAATCCTCCATATGATTTCTTAAAAATCATACATGATAAAACTAGTTAAAAGAAGATAGTTGAGTTCTTACCTTCTTCCTAGCTAGTTTTCTACTGGAATTTGCTTGCCCCTTACTTCCTCCAAGCTTGATCTTGATGAGGAGTTGCTGGAGCTTCTCCTTTCCTTTGGGTTGGCCGGATGATTGCAAGAGGATAAGGGGAAGGGGTTCCTCCTCAATCAAAGGGATTATATGTCCCAAAATAATGCAATGAGGGGTGTGGTTTTGTCTCCAGCCACCCTCTCATTAAAAGTCCGCCCCCAGCCTCACTTCCTTGTCCCTTGCAGTACATAAAAACGTGGGGTGACTCCCACTTATGTGGGAGGTCATCCCATTATGTCCCGGTGTGTACAATTGGCCCCGAAAGTTGTATTTTTCGGACTACTTTAGTCATATTTTATTTTATCGGGCCGGATAAAATATATCACGCGTTCCCAACAATTTTGGGCCTTTAGAAACGATGTACATTCCCCAACATTAATTTAGGAGCCTCCGAAACTCATTTCGGGTTGTTATCCGTTAAATTACCAATACCGGTACTTGGGCCCTGTTTGACCAACCGGTCAACTCCATGCCTTTCTTATGGCCCGAATAAAATATCCACCACCATATAGATGTCATCTAGACCAAGATGAATATAATATGTGGTTCGGGAATTATCGGGCGGTCCTCGTTCCCGTTGTGGGCCCCACATGCAATTTACTATTCAACGTAAAAGAAATAATAAAATTTAACAACTACGTAAATTCATAAATCATCTTTCAAGGTTTATTACATATTTTTACTAAAAGTAAATATGTTCGGGGTCGGTGTTACACCCCGCACCTCCGCCCTCGAGAGGCTCGGAGGGACGCAAGACCGCCGAGGGGTCCAAGACCGCCTCGGGGTGAAGGCGTTCCAAAGGCCTCAGGAAAGTGGCGGATCCGTCTCCAGGGCAGACGAAAGGCGACCCCTTCAGGACAAAGGCAAGGCACCACTTCATGTCGATGACGCCAGGCATCAGATCAACCAGGCCCACTCGGATCGTGTTCGTTCGCAGGGGGGCGGAGGCCCTCCCGAAGGATCATAGGGACGAGATTATTGCGGCCCTCCAACACCGGCTTGATGAGATGGAGGCCCATCGGGCACATACCGCCGTCGCCACCCCTCATGCAGATCCCAAGTATGAGGCCATGATGGTCAAATGGAGGAAATGCAAAAACGAATAGCCGAAGGCTCCGGGGAACCCGTCATCGAACTCCGGACTAGGACGTCATTTACCACAAGGGTATTGGCGGCCCGAATTCCGGAAAAATACCGGGGGCAACCCATGAGGCCCTATGAAGGAAAGACGGATCCCCAGCAACATTACAGCCGCTACCAAAACAGCATGATGATGGTGGGGCATCAGATGAATAGTGCTCCGCCCCGGGAACTTCTCAAGGGGCCTCATCATCGACCCCCGCGCGATTACATAAGGGCCCTACAGCGGGGGGACCGATACGCCGAGGCCGAGGAGGTGGAAAAATGCCTTCACCACCCCAATCAGCAACGCCCTCGACCAGATGATAAAGGCAACTGGGGGCCGGGGGCTCTTCATAATCAACCCAAGGGTTCGGCACCCCCCGGTGATCGCCCCTGGCACGGCCAAGCCAAGCCCGGGGGATGTTACAAGGGTAATCCGAAGACTTGGGCGCAGCCTGTTCTCCTGGAGCATCTTCGGACACCCTTGACGCACCCCGTCAGCATCATCCTCGACTTCGCTGAGGAGAGGGGCCTGGTGGAGCGAGATTCTCGCGCACCCCCGGAGGTATATGCCATCAATCCAAACTACCCCTACTGTCGCTTCCACCGACATCAAGGGCACAAAACCAATGACTGCCATCAGCTGAAAACAGCCATCGAAAGGTTAATACAGGCGGGCAATCTGTCCCAGTTTGTCCAAGGCCCTCAGCAACAGGGTCCTCCCTACCAAGGGCCACCCCGAGTGCGTCCAACGAAAGCAAACGCTTGGGTTAACCCAAACACCATCCCCCTCGGCAGGAAGAGGGAGATAGGGAATTTGGAAGAGGAAGAAGAAGAGTGTCCCCACGGCCATGAGAAGAAGCGCCGCATCCTCATGATCACCGGTGGCAATACAGGGGGGACTCCACCAGCCAACGGAAGAAGTGGGATCAATCGTTATACGTGGGGGAAGTCACTCATATGCCCCCGATAAAGCGGCTGAGGGAGGAGCCCATCACATTCACAAATGCTGATCTCTCCCTGCCTCCTCTCCGCACAGGGATGCCCTCGTCATCTGTACGGAGATCCATGACACCATCATCCACCGAACTTACATTGACACGGGCAGCTCCTTCAATGTAATGTACCTCAGCACATTCAGAGAGCTGCATCTGGAGAGGGGGTCCCTTCGGCCCATCAAGACCCCTCTCGCCGGCTTCACCGGAGACATTATTGATTCTGAGGGGGTTATTACCCTCCCGCCAAGCTCGAAGTGGAGTTCGTCGTCGTCAACATCGACTGCGCTCACAACATCATCCTCGGCAGACCTGCCCTCGAGGACCTCGAAGCCATCATCTCCATGAGGCATCTGTGCCTTAAATTCCCCGCCAAAGGAGGCATCAGGTACTCAAGGGGGAATCAAAAACTTGCCCGCGCTTGCTACCCTAAGGGGCGTGGGGTTCAAGGGTCGGGAGGTGCTGGCCTCACCCGCATTTTGGGGGGAAGGACGGCAACAGTAACCTTCGACCTCTCCTTCTGCTCCTCCTGCTCAGCAACTTGAACGGCGAGGGCCATCTCCTCGTCTTCGATCACCTGCTCGAAGTCCTCAGCTTCGGCCTCGGCATCGAGGTCTTTCTGTACCTCCATGGCCATTGCAACATCATTCCCGGCCGAGGGTTGCTCACTCGTGGACTCCACGTCTGAAATACTTTCTTCCTCCATCGAAGGCTCCCTCGAGATGTTCTGTGAGTCGCTTTGCGAAGACATCCTCGAAGGCTAAGTGACGAGGGTTTCTACGACAGAGGGCTACCTAAGGAACTATAGCGTTCAGCCTAAGGCTACGAAAGATTAAACTCGACAAAAGGAAAAGGAAGGCAAAGTATGCTGAAGACAGCGGAGAGTGGATCGAAGACTAACCTTGAAGCTGGTAGTTTGACCGAAGGGATTTTTTCTCTCTAGAAATCAAATTGCCAGAGCTTCGCTACAATGATCGCACAAGGAGAACGGCCCCTGGCCTTGGGGTATTTATAGGCACCCAAAACCCGGGCTTGGGTCGGAAACTGGGCCCCCGATGGAAAATCATCATTACGAACCGTCGAATTGCCCAATCGGTGACACCCTCCCACAGGCAGCCAACGAGCACACGCCACGTGGACTCCGCCTCCAACGGTCACATCTCAACGGCTATATTTTCAAAAACACAGAGGTGCCCCCGGCTGGTACCCCTCATACAACATCACAAGTGCCTTCGGCCTTTCTCCTCCAGGAGCCCACGACTTAGCAACGGGTAGCCCCTCGGGAACCTTCATCAACTGTCCCCCCGGCCAGGCAATAAGGAGACAGACTTCAACATACAACAACGGGCCCCCCGTGTGCCCTCATCCCCAGTTTGTCAACAGGTAGAGAATCCTCCCGGCAACACGGCAATTACCACTTACATTCATCACACCCTCAGCCCCAAGGACTGGGGGACTCCCTTTGGCATCTCCCGGGATATCAACAGCGCGCCTTCGGCAAATCAACACACGCGCCTTTAGACGAGGATAGCCTTCGGCTACAACACTGTCGTCAGTCTCAGACTCTCAGACCAAGGTTTCACCTTTTCGATTCATCATTGGGGGAATTCGGTGCACTCTTTTTCCATCATTAGAATTTTTTCCCACAGGGTTTTTTCTAATGGGGTTTTTAACGAGGCATCCCCCCAAAATGAGCCGAAAAGTGTCAACCTTCGACACCTACAACAACAGGCAATACTCTACTCCTTTTCACCACTTCACAAGTGCTTCGAGGAGTGGTGGACTAGAGAACCCCTCCGAGAAAATCACAAAAAACCTAAAAATTCTCACAGCATCAACATCCTTCAGTCCCAAAATGTGGGGGACTGAGGGACTGCCCCCGACAAACAAATGCAAACGCAAATCTCTCACTGGTCTACAAACTACAACAAAGCAAACACCGGCACCAACGCAGTTACTCCTTTTCCCTCAAGTACCTTTCGGCAAAAGGAGTGAAGGACTCCTGATGGAGTATATGGCCCAGGGACCCCCGACCCACATACTTCTACTAATACAATCAGGCCCAATAAGCCCAGGAGGCACAACATGCCCAAATCGTAGCACCTCCAAGTGCCAAGCAGCCCACGACGCACACTGGGGTGCCTTCGGCCCCATGGCTGAAGGCTCATGAACTTACAATACAGCTGCTTTTGAGCACCCGAAATTACTGGGAGAAAACGGTGAAAACACTAGCCCTCGTCATCTAGAGCCCTCAACACCTAGAGGCCCCCGAGAGGAAGAACCTTCGGCCTGTCACCTACAACCGAAGGCAACTTCCTCGACAGGATCTGCGCTCCACACGCGCTGGATCAACGTACCAAGTACAAACGTCGCATCCAACCACCGCATTTAATGCGGCCACATGCGAGTGCCAGTGCCACCCGGTTGAGGTGACCCCTCGACCGCCAGAATGATGACACATGTCCTTATCTAGCATTTATTACTACTATAAATAGCACTCCTTTCCCCATTTGTAATTCAGGTTGAATACACTCAATGCATTCTTAGCAATATCTACTCTCTCTCTTACTCTTGCTCTGACTTCTCTCTAGTTACTCCCCACAGTAACCCCTCAGATAGATACCCCCGGATACACTTATCCATCACCCATTGTTAGTGGGACGGAGGGAGTATTTTTTTATGATAAAAGACTTAATAATATTCAACCAATTTCAATAATAAAAATAGAAAGAATGGCATGGATATTACTTTCCAACTTTCATTTGACAAAAATATGACAACTTGTAAAATGGACAGAAAAGTGACTATGATTATTCCAATCAATTTTACGTATAACCTTTTCACTTTCGTTGAAATCTCTTCCGAATCGCTGAACCCTATCTTCTCTTCTGCATCGTTGAACCACAGCTTCACTTCCCTCCGCATCGCTGAACTACAGCCCAAGCTACGCCACGACTTGCAGCCATCATCTCAGCCCCAATATAACTTCGTCGACAACACCATCGACAGTGGCTGGCCGTTGATGGTGATTGGTGAACGGTGCACAAATCGTAGCGTATGACTACAGTATCAACGAGACCGGAAAACAGATACGTTCGGCGACGGTGCTTCATCAGATTTGGGAGCCAACGATGACTATGTGACTCCAACAGATCCTGCCGTCCCTGAGTAGATCCCGCCGTCCTTGAGTAGATCTGAAAGTTGAGTTGGGTGATATGGCGGACTATTCCCGTCTTTTAGGGTTCTGTTTATTAGGGTTTCGATGGTTATAAGTGACGGGTTAGGGCGGCTGCGGACAGATTTGAGATTAGGGTGAGGGACAGGGAAAAGGTTTCCAGCAAGGTTCACGGCAGGGGTGCTGGTTGTTGTGGGCTGGTGGGGTAGAGGTCGGGTTGTTGTGGGCTAGTGGGGCCAGGGGATGGTTGATGTGAGCTGGTCGGTAATCCGGGCGGTGGTGGTGGTTGCCGTAAGATCTCACACTTGAGGGTTGGGAGACAGATCAGGGGGATGGGAAGGGTAGGGCCTAGGGATTGGGGTTTGGATGGCTGTGGTGTGGGGTTTGTGGGCAATGACTGATTAAATTTGATGGTGATTGTCAGCGGCGGCGCTAGGGTGGTGCGACGGCGACGTCATTGTAATGGGAGGTGACATGATGGGTAGTGACCGGGGTGTTGTGGGGGCAGTCACTGTGATGGGAGCAAGGGCAGTCACTGGTCGGGGTGCGGTGGCGACAGTCACTGGCCGGGGCAGGGGCGGCAGTCACTGGCCGGGGACGGGGGCGGCAGTCATTAGCCAGAGGCTGTGGTGGCAGTCACTAGTCGGGGCGGTGGCGGTTGGCCGGGGGCGGTGATGGCACTCACTAGCTGGAGTGGTGGTGTGGGGGAGTCACGGGATGGGCTGGGGGCAACAATCACTAATCAGGGTGGCAATGAAAGTCACTACATAGGGTGGTCACTATATGGGGTCTAATTCGAGTCACTTAAATTGGAGGTCACTACATATTAGTCATATTTTTGGAATTTTGGTTATGTTGTCACTTTTTTGTCTTTAAGGTTTTATTTAGTAAAATTAATAAAAAAAGTCCATAAAAATAAAGGAAAATCATACTCCCTCCGGTCCTGATTTAACTTTACACTTTCCTTTCCCTCGGCGGTCCCATATTAAACTTTTCACTTCCTTATTTGTCTTATTTGTCAAACAAATCTACACCAAACAGTGCTAAACAGTGTCAAACAGTGTATTCTATAAAGTTAAATTTATTTCCTTAATATGTGTGAAGTCAAAGTGTAAAGTTTAATAAAGATCGGAGGGAGTATCATAATAGCTAAAATCGTTCTTTATGAAACTTCAGCCAATTCAATCAAAAGAGTAATTGTAGGGGTGAGTTTTTGGATCCGAAAATTGTAAAACCGGTTGGAACAGAACCATTATAACCCGGTTCGGTTCCTATAAATGAGGTACTAGAATGTTTTTATTTGAACTGAAATTTTCTGGTCTATTCTGATTTGATCAGGTCTGGTCTGCTCTGTCCGGTCTTTGGCTCTGTTCGGCAGGCCACATAAGTTCAAATAGGGCTGAAATAATTAAAGTTCAGTCAATTTAAATTAAAATTGAAATGTTTGTTTGGAGGGTTGAAGTGGACTTCATCTGAAATATATGGATTGAACCGGAACGTTGAAGAAGGTAACGTTGGTAATTTAGCCCCACCTTTCTAGACTTCCATTTCCCACATTATCCCTATTAATCAATCTCACGCAACGACAACTTATTCCTTGCCCATTGCGCAGGGTTTAGGTAGACTGGCACTCTGGCAGAGCTCACATGTATGTATTTTTACTTCCTCTAATGGCACGTTTGGCTTTCTCTATTATACTCCATTTTCACTACCTGTTTCTTTGGTCCTACATGGAGTGTTTGTTTTGAAATTCATCAACAAAACTTATATCTTTGGCAAATTAAAACTCCAATTCTAAATTTACTTGCAATTACTCAATTACGAATAATATAATTATATTATAAATTTACAAATATTATATGCACAGACGCATACATGTGTTAAAGGGCTGAAAATATAAAAATGATTGTTGTAAATATCTTATTCTATTAATAAATTATATGCCCTTTAATGTAATTTCATATTAACCTGATACTTTTTCAAGTCTTTTTTCCAAACAGGTTTACTCCATTCTGCTAGTGATTCAGATCCAGCACTTCAAATTGTAGTTCCAGACAATAGTCTCTCGTTCAGACAATAACCTCTAATTCAGACATTAATCTCCAGTTCCAGCTCGCCGTGCCAAACATAGCCTTTGTATATTTTACAACTGTTGAAGTATGGGGTGTTCTGAATTGGTCTGGTATGGGACTGAAATTACTCCAAGTAAAAATATCCTTAGTTGTTAACGCTTCAGTTTTAGTCAGTGACGGACTAAAATATTTTCGAAAGCGGGGGCACTATGGCATGGATGAGAATGGTTGGGTGCATCACTAGTCTATTCTCCCGCGGCTCGTTATGAGTGTACCAATTTAAGGTTGTAAGACTTTAAGTCTGTAGTTGATTATAATTGAACTATGCATAGAATTAATTCTCAGCTAAGGCTTTGTGGAGAGAAAATAACTGATAGTGAAATACTTGAGAAAACATACTCCACTTTTCATCCATCAAACAATGTTCTGTCCCAACATCACAGGAAAAGGGGTATACAAAATATTTTGACTTGATGGATCAATTATTTGCTGTTGAGAAAAATAATGAGTTGATCCTGAAGAATCATCAGTCTCGCCCTATTGGTTCTACCCCAGCACCATTCCCTGAAGCGAATGCGGTGACTAATAACAATAAGAAGGAAACAAGCCAGTGGTCAAGGGCATGAGCGAGGTCGCGGTAGGGGTAGGTACCGTGGCAATCTTGGACATCGTGGTGGTCACACTCGTCGGGATAGTCATGATTATAGAGATGGTCGGGTCACTCACTTCAAAGGCCCGTCTCGCCATCAGAAGTGGCAGAAAACGAGAATTATGGTAAGGGTGGTCCAGAAAAGACAGAGAATACGTGTTTTTCGATGTGGAGCAAGAAATCATTGGTCGCGTACCTGTCGTACGCCCAAGCACCTAGTGGAGCTCTATCACCAATCATTGAAGAATAAAGAGCACAAGGTTGAGATAAATTTTGCCTTTCATGATGATGACCTCCTTGATGAGCCTGTCAGCTCAACTCATTTGGAAGTTGACGATTTTCTAGAAGAAAAACACTAATTACTTTCTATATTTCTTGCATTGCACTATTATTAATTCCTTTTATTGATCTGACTTTTGCTTACTTCAGTATTATGTTTTTAAATAGTTTACCTTATGGACTATGTTATGAACTACGTTTTTTTTGAAGTTATGATTCAGTTTTACTATTGAAATGGTTAATTTATTTTAATTTGATGTGGACATTATATTTGGCAATTTTATTTATTGTGGACACTTGATTAACATGATTCTTTTATTGATTTAGATAATTTTAATTTATAGTGAAAATGGACATAAGTGTTGTCCAAATTGCTATGAATGGTGAAGAATTGTGTCTTGCTAATAGTGCTACTATGCACACAATACTTAGAAATGATTATAATTTTTCTGAGTTGAAAATGCAAAAGGGAAATGTTAACACCATTATTGGTACAAATAAGTTAATAGATGGCTTCAGAAGAGCCAATCTAGTGTTTCCCGAAGGTACAAAATTCCAAATTGATGATGCATTATATTCCGGTATTCCCCCAAATCTAAAAGAAATTATCTAAGTTTTAAGGATATCCGCCGAAATGGGTATCATATTGAGACGGCTAAAGAAGGAGATACCGATTATCTCTACATAACTGATAAAATTTCGGTTATTAAAAAAGTGTTAGGAAAATTACATGAATTTTCATTTGGTTTGTACTACACCAAAATTAGTACAATTGAATCATATCTGACCATAAACTAGAAGTTTATGGATCATGATAAATTTATTACTTGACATGACCGGTTAGGCCATCCCGGATCAACAATGATGCGAAGAATTATTAATAGTTCATGTGGACATTCACTCAAGAACCAGAAGATTCTTCAATCCAATGAGTTATCTTGTGTTGCTTGTTCCCAAGGAAAATTAATTACTAGACCCTCACTGGCTAAAATTAGAACGTAACCACTTTCCTTTTTAGGACGTATTCAAGGTGATATATGTATGTGGACCAATTGATCCACCATGTGGACCATTTAGGTATTTCATGGTTTTAATCGATGCATCGAATAGATGGTCACATGTATACTTTTTATCGACTCGCAACCTAGCGTTTGCGAGATTACTAGCTCAATTAATTAGATTAAGAACACATTTTTTTATTATTCAATTAAAACTATTCGCCTTGATAATGTCGGTGAGTTCACCTCCCAAGCTTTTAATGATTATTGTATGTCCATCGGGATAAGAGTACTAGAACATCCTGTAGCACATGTTCATACTCAAAATGATCTTGCGGAGTCACTAATTAAACGACTCCAGCTTATTGCAAGACCATTACTTATGAGATGTAAACTCCCTATTTCAGCTTGGGGGCATGTAATTTTACATGCAGCAACACTAATTCGCATCAGGTCAACAAGTTATTGTGAATCATCTCCCCTACAAATGGGTTTGGATAATGAACCAAATATTTCCCATCTAAGAACATTTGGATGTTCCGTATATGTACCTATTACTCCTCCACAACATATTAAGATGAGACCCTAAAGAAAGTTGGGAATATATGTTAGCTATGAATCTCCTTCCATAGTAAGATATTTAGAGCCATCAACATGAAATTTATTTACAACTAGATTTGTTGATTGTCATTTCAATGAATCACATTTTCCAACATTAGGGGGGAGAAAGAAAGCAGCTAGAGAAATAGTTATGTTGGATTGTACCATCATTATTACATCTTGATCCACGTACTAAAGCAGAGTCGTCTGATAAATTTAGAGGCTTTGTTCTAAATACCAAAATGAGGCCCAACATATGAATAAAAATAAAACCACAAATAATAAAAACTCACAAAGTTCAACAAAATTATCTGTGTCCAAGTGCTCATATAGAAAAGTACATGATTTAAAATAACTAAATATAATTATTATGCTATCATTTGAATAAAGTTGTCCTCCTTGACGTCTTTGAAGCAAAATCATCTATCAAATCCTTATACTCGATCTTCTCCGAATAGTCATTCTCAATTGTTATCATCGCCAAAACGTTGAGTCTCTCTTGTGACATTGTAGACCGCAAATAAGATTTCAACAATTTAAGCTTGGAAAACTTCTTTTTGCACTTGCCACGGTCACATCAATAATCAACATTATTCTGTAAGCAATTACCACATTAGGCAAACAAGTATGACGCTTCACTTGTTTGTAGAGATCAAAAGGTCCCATTTTTTAATTAGGTAAAAAATATTTAAAAAGTTTCAACTCCATATACAAATTATCCCCATCAACATCAGACTGTTA